AAGTCTGAATTAACTGTCCTTGCATGGTTTTCTTCATAATTCATCCATTATCGATCGTCTTTAATTTCAGCGTTATCAACGCGATATAATATTAAGAAATTCTGCGTGGAAAAATATTGTTGGATAATGATTGTAAGCTAATTATTGCCGGATATGTATTGCATAGCGAATGAAGCATCATTCGCTATACATATAAAATTTTTCTTTGTTAAAATATTTAATAAATAATTTTTTCCAGAGGATCCTATGCAAAATTATGATTCATTTATATTACGATTATATTAGAAGTTCGCTTTTCCATATATCAGTTCTTGTTCTTTTTTTCTCTCTCTCTCTTTCTCTTTCTCTCTCGGGCATTAATATTTCTTTAGCGAATTTTCTCGTTGAGATATCACGAGATTAAAAGCTTCATAAATTTTTTCATCACGGTTGACGTTAGCAAAGATCTCGGGCAGCGTTTTACAGAAACTAATTACGTCCGAAGCAACTAAAAAATACTGATTTTAAAGAAATTTATCATTTATCGAGAAACTGGAAATGCTGGATTGCATTTTTACGATATCTCTTAAAGACAATAACAACTGTGTCAAAATGATAATGCACGACAAACAAATTTCAATATGTGTTGATCTTTGTAAGATGCATGTAGCGATAATTAACGCGCAATCAACACGTTTCTTTGCGACAAAGAGAAAAAATTAAAACAAGTAGTACAGAATAAGAGTTCAAAAAGATGAATGAAAGAGAGACGTTACGTCACTCAGAAGTAAAAAACAAAAATGCAGAAGGGAAAAAGAAAAGTTTGGAGGGCCAACGGCGGTATGAAGAAGTTTAATTTAACTTCATTGCTAAGTGCTATCGTCTTCTCGTTACTCATGAATAATTCAGTAAACTCTGAACCGGTAAACTCCGAAAATTGCTGTACGATCTCGCCCATGTCATTTTCGTACAGCATAATATGCGGCATAATATTTAATTAAATCAGCCGTTTAATTAGATCATAAATTTTAAAATTAACACAGAGCTCATATATATCCCAGAAAGTGCGCTGATAATGGTGAACAATTCACGCGGTAATAGCTGCGCGTAAATATTGCATTCTGACAGAGACAGAGAGAGAGAGAGAGAGAGAGAGAGAGAGAGAGAGAGAGAGAGAGAGAGAAAGAGAATATACGATATTTGCATAATCGGATAATTATTACGTTTACATCCAAAACATGCGTTGGAAATAGCCATCGGCGTGCTTTAGATGTGAAAATTTCACTCGACACAAACGATTCCTATCGATTCATCGCCTCCAAGATGACATGTCGAGACGCTTCGTTGGAAATACCACTGCCGTTTGTAAAATATGCATGCGATGCACCTGCGAATGCACTTGAACTGCACTTACCGGCGATCTCAAAGCGTCTTCTAATTTACCCTCGACCCTTTCAATTCTGACTGTATTTGCACCACGTGAATCTAACAAGGTATACACATCCTAGAGACTCTTCAACCCTGCTGTTCTTCTCTTCTCTCGACGTAAATTAATATTCTCTCGACGTATATTAATATTTTACGTAACATGTGTGCGTGGTGAATTTCATGATTCGCGGCCCGTCCATCCAATTTTCTCGTCAGAGCTTTTTTTCGATCCACTGGACCATACATTACTGTGTAATGTCGGAAAGCGTTACGATATTAAAAGTATTAAATCAACTTTACGCGCGATTTTCACGTTGCAGTACGGCTTCTTTTCTAATATTTCACGGTACTTCGTCTATCGATACTCATGTAATTATACATATTCATTGCTCATATTATTGTACCAACTCCACGCAGAGGCGCTATTTCCCGAAGACGTAATTTTTTTCCACACGATTAAATCGAACGTTAATGCCGCGTCCTTCGTTACCTCGTCGTCATATTTTATCGCGATTGAGACGGATGTGGACTGAACAGCGTTGAGCGACGACACGTCGGAGCAGCGTGAGCCTGCGACGCGTACGGTATGGTGCTGGTACAATTATCCGTTATCGCGATCCTACTGGGACGGTTAATCCACCGCGCGGCAGTAACTCTTAGGGATTTGACGATTAACGGTACGAACACCATCCTAGCCGGACTGTCCGGATTCCCAGTGTATTATCGAAGACTCGTCAACCGCCATGAGTCACCCCGATCGGCCGTTCGAACATTAAGTCCAAGTTAATATCGCCGATCCACAGTTTCTGTGGATATACCTGCGATATTGCTACTCGTGCGCGCGGCCGAAAATCCAATTCCAATTCGTAATTAAATTCGCATGCGAACGAAAAACGAACGTGGGATCTCCTTTGCGGGCCCAATGCTACTAAGACAGCCGTATATATCCTCCAAATCTCAATCCCGGCCTAATCAATTTAATCGTATATTTATTTTAACTCTGCTTCTGATTTTAAATTAACTCGCTGTTAAAGCTCCAAGCGGAATAATTATCTGTATAAACTCACGCTCGCAATTATCTCTCTTTCCGCCGAGTTTCGCTTAAAGAGAGAGAATTCCATAGCGATCCGTCAATTGAGTGTTCCTCGTGTAATCGACACACGTAATCGACTCAAAATTGCCGATTCCTGAATATCCTCCACCGCGTAATCACTGCGCGATCCGCAAAGCGAGGAGAGCTTCCTTTCTCTCTTTCTCCCTCGGTGGACGGGTAGGAATCGAGTCGTCCGCGTGATACGACTTGGACGGAGCCGTTCGAGAATTGTCACGTGTATGTCGCTTTATCCCTTTATCCCATAGCAGGTTCAGAAAACGTATTTAGGTACTGGGACTCTCCGTTGGGGCGAGTGTCGGACGCGGACTTTCTCAGACCGGCCACCAACTACCACGAACCACCACCAATCATCACCATCACCAACCACATCCACACATCCACAACCGCACATGCAAAAAAAATAAAACAGACCTATCCCTGATCTCTTCACCAGCACGGTGAGTCATACTTCTTCTTCGTTCTATATGATATCCTATTTTGATCCTCCGTCGCAGCTTTCTACCCTCTCGGGAGTACTGTCTGAACGCCTGAGAACGATCGAAATTTGTTTCTCTAATCATGCGCCGAAATTAACGCGGTATATCCCAGAAAGGATATGTGCTTCCAAATTTATTGGCTGCTTAATAATAAACTTCTCTATTTTCGTCTCGGCGAGATGTTCATCGTCTCGATGAATCGCTAACGCCACTGGAAATTGGCGCGATCTAAAACCGATAATTGGTCGGCGAAACCTTTTGGCGAATCTTGAACGCACGGGAAATTTAATTCGAGGGTTAATTGCAAAGCGCCGCCTGATGTCAACAATTAAAGTGCAAATTTATTCTTCGTCCCAGGAAAGCTCCGCTCGTGACTGCATCGGTAATAATTCTCACCGCTATTCACCGACAACTTTCTAGCGGCAACCCCCAGTATTTTGCGCGTATCTCTCGTATTTCGCTATTACGCGAATGATCAATTCACGACTGTTCTCGATGCTTAATACCGTCCTCGTGATATTTGACGTCGTCGACGAGTAAAATTAATTGGGTCTTAGTGTCGTTATCGTACAACGTAGTTTTCGCAAAGTTATTGCGAGAGGCGTCGTGTAATTCGGAATACGCCGTAAGGCATTCGAGAAGTAGACGCGTTCCCTCAGGTTTCACGTACTCCGACGAGAGCGGTAGACTGTATTTTCTTATTTCACGCTGCTAATGGCTTGCTTCGCCCTTGTCTTTGCACGCTTCTCCTTCGCTTGTGCATTTCACGTATTAAGGGATCCTCACACTTGTTATTCCGCCGCCGGTATCGATTGTTGTTACTATAAATAGCGTACACTGACGCGCTCGTTAATTCGTCGGTGTCGCCAAATAGTAGACGACTGAGTATGAATAACAGACGACTGAACGCGAATTTCACTTGATTCGCATACCGAACCCGAGAACGTGCAAAAAACCTTACTTATTCATATATGATTTGCAAATGAAACGTACGGCATGGTAAACGTGGCATGGCACACGTATGCTTTCGCATGTCTTCGTAAGTTTCGAACATTGTTATGTTTACACGCTTCCGTTCGCAAGCTTCCGTTCACGTCGCAATTACGCATTTTTATTCATTTATCCGGAAATCATCTTCTGCAATCTCTATTTTAGAACGTAGAGCGCGATTTGTCATTTTTTTAAGCGGTCCACGTTTCTTTTACCGCCCGCATATTTGATACATTAGGCTTGGGCGAAAAAAGCAAACTCAGCCACTGCAAATCAATTCACTCAGTGAGTGTTTATCCAATTAATTGATTATGCGAAAAAATGTCTTGGAATAATAATTTCTTATTATTGTGTTATCTTATATGTGCATAAAAGCATCAAGTAAGATTATTCCTTCTTATGAATAATATTAATTTCTGTGATTAATGTATAATTTTTATTTCATCATATCTGACAATTAGCATTAATTGGCACAAACGGTGTTCGCCGAAGCCTAATTCATATATTAGTGGAATAATCTAAGTTACATCGCTTGCCTTATTATTGTAAGACAGCTTATTTTAAGTTATTTTATTATGTGTATACACACTTTACTCATAAGAATACTATGAATACTACACTTTGAATACTATGAAAATGGCGTTACAGATAAATCAGAAGAACAAAAGAGCAACCAATTTTCGCTCGTTTAACTGTTCTAATTAATTACCACCATGACTTGAATCGATTAAATCAAATGACTAACCCACTTTCGTTGAGAGAGATGACTTCGTAGCTGTCTTATCGATTCTGGTTTGCGTTTGCAACGCCATTCACACCCACCGCGTCGACACGTAAGCGATATCGAGCGCAACGTAGCACAACCAAGCATCACACAGCAATAACAGCAACAACAACCACCACTACTTCTACTACAACGACACACTACGACAAGCACACACGACATTATTGTCGACATATCGTCGAATATTGGCAGAAACAAAAAGCGTCAATGCTGTATCTAATTTTTTCAGTGTGCAAGCCGAACTGGTACAACGATAACAACGGTGGCTGCTTGCAACAATGTCCATTGGGAACTTACGTGGTCCAGGATTACGATAAGATGTTCTGCGTTAAATGCCACTACTCGTGCCTATCCTGCAAAGGTCCCAGCGACACGGACTGCGTCACCTGCCACGAGGATTCGACGTTCACGTTGAACGACAACGGGGAGCATTGCGTGTTGAACAATATCGTTTGGAAGATACAGTCCACAATGTGGTACTATAGAATGACCATGCTGTTCTTGATCAACATTACTTTGATGATCGTCTTCGTCATTTATCTCGCGTCCTGCTGGTACATCCGCCGGCGCAAATGCGCCCATGAATACAATCAAGTGTGGTATACCGACAACGGCAAGGCTCGCGCGGACATGGAACGATTGCAGGATAACACTTGCGTCTCTGACAGCGAGTGAGAACCATTAACGTCGGGAAGTGCGAAAATATTTCAGCACAATATGATATTCATGGGGACACTTTTGAGAGTATTTTAAGAACATCAGTATTTGGTGATACTACGGGAACTTTTGAAAATGATGCGATAACATTCTGTTGGTATCCCGGGTTAGCATTCCGGGTTAATATCCCAGGGATAATTAGAGAAATATCCTTATAGTGCGAAAATAGTAAAAAAAACTCTGCCAATATATGTGCAAAACTATTCGGAATTTGAATTTCCGAAAAGCGTTTTCCGAAACTAAAAAGAAACTGGGGGAAATTTTGAAAACTCTTTAAAACGTCCAGTTTCTATTTTAGTTAGGGAAAAATTTAGAATTTTCATAGAAACATGAAAAATTCTTAAGAATTACTTAAACTAATTTTTATAAACGAAATAATTTTGGAAAAGACCTGAAAAATTTTTGCTTTTTTAAGATAATATAATGTTCCGCGAAAATATACTGAAACTGCTGTAAAAGAGCGTGTGGCATCTTTACGAGACTGATGGGGTATAAATATTTCGATCCACAAATGCGCAATATATAAGATTATTTCTAAGTAATTTATAGTATTAATATAACGAGCATAATCAATTTGACGTTCACGGACCGATCAAAAATCGAGATATGCAGGAAATAAAAGAAACGTTAGGAGGAGAAGTATAACAAAGATTCCCTTCTCGCAAGGAAAAGTGTTTCTTTTCCTCTTGCTCCTCCAAATATTTTACAAACTTATCTACTGCACGAGCTCAGAATTCCGTCGTCGAGTTTAAAAGGTATGCTGCACACTTTTGCGAGTGTGCGAGGAATGCTCCTTTCGCAGCGGCAATTCGCGGGACGTCCGGAACATAAAGCGTTAATGGCGCCGATAGTTTCCTTTGAGACGATCGTCACGTCGCGATGCCAGTATTGTAGCGATAGTTTGCAACGGTCAGCCGTTTATCGATCCCTGGAGTGGACTAGCGCCAAGTAATGTCCCTCGAGGCCAGTGAGTGATTTCGTGCGATTCAGTGAGTCTTAAGTACTTGCACGGACACATCCGGACATCTATTATGCGGTCAAGAGTGAGAGTGGTGAGCGCCACTTTGAATCGCGGTTATTCTGTCACGAGTAACTTTGTGCAAGACACTCGACCGATGATAAAATGTCGTGTGACTTACGCATAAAGCTAAAAAAGACTTTTGTAGGTTAAAAGAATAGTCGCGTGTCAAATAATAACGATAGCCGACGCACTCATTCCTGGATTTTCGCGGAAGCCTCAATGCGCAGAGGCGGAATGATATTTTTGATTTATTATTATTATTTTATGGATTCGCGAGTCGTCGAGTTCCTAGAATGATGCGAGTAACACACGGCGCGATTTGATTGACAAGATTGCCGCGCCGTACAGTATATACGCGCACGACGCGCGTCGTGCGCTGTAATCCAGAGCGGTGAGGGATTAATTTCCAACAAATAAAAACCGAAGAGAACAAACTTCATTTTGTGATTAAATGAAAAAAAAATATTACGTATGCTTTTGCGCGAGCAGTTTATCTCAGTACTGTGATACGCATAGTAAGGTCAGTTGTAAGTAGCCATCATCCCTCTCTCATCGCCCGCTGCATTAACCCATAATTGTTACCAATAAACATTAATTTGACGCGATGTACATTGTTCTTGTTAACGTTGTGAATTTAATAAAGCGATAAATGATAATAATGAAAACGCCAATATCCCCGTCATCTTCCTGCCATATCTTCACATTTCTCCAAAGATTATTAAATCTTCATCTTTGCAAGAAAGGCGAACAAATTTATTCCACAAATTCCGTTTCTCACATTTTTTTATGCTTGCAAGACTGTAATTTCTTTCTTAACGTTACACATCGCGCGGCTAATATAGTAGCTCATAACTGCAAAGCAAACTCTTCTCAGTTACGAGCAACGCACCTGAAGGTACAAGTTAATGATGCAGCTTTTTCATTCTAATTTACAGCTTAACGTCGAGGATTGTCAGCGAACGGAGAGGAGCCAGTGTTCAATGCCAATACGTAGAAATTAGAGGTGATGGGATCCAACAAACCGTAATATGTAGAATAAAATATGTAGACATCAATTAAAACAATAAACGAACAAATCAAACATAATTTCTGCAATCTCTCTTGGAGCGCTGACGCTACGTTTATACTACACTACGTACATCGACGAGGGATTATCATCGCCGATCGAGTTGCGAAAGTAATTAATCTGCGACGTGAGCAATAATCGCCGGTAACGAGCGGAGGATTCTCGTCGCGATCGGCAATCGCGACTGCTTATCCCAATCAGCGAACTCATCTCGCACAGTCGACAGAGGGACTTACCGTGTCGCACAGACGAACCGGCTTTGCTAATTGTCGCCAATTAATACTCCCGCCTGAGCAATCTTGTTATTGAACTTCGAGATGGGAATCCAGTGACGGGATAAATGGTAAGTATGCGTATGCGTGTGTACACATGTGTAGAAGAAAGGGAAAAATGACTCTCCGAGTGGATCGGAAAAACTACGTGAAATGAAATCGCGGAACGGATTATCCAATAATTCCTGCATATTCATTTCTATTGTTTACATGTTTATGCGAAATACGCTTTTGTTCTAGCAAAGATTGTAACACAACATAATGGAGAACGTGAAACTTCGCGCTTACTGTAAAAAATGTTGATCTACCTGCATTCAGTGTATCTGTTTATTTGAATGCTTCATAAAAGTCGACGATGAGATGTATTTTCGAGAGAAAGTAAAGAGAGAAAGAGAAATAGATTTTCTGCGAAGAGTCATCGCGATCAATATTTATCGGCGCAATAAATATCACGTCTTTCTATTGGATTTGTTATTGCAATGCGTCGTTTCACGCACAGTTTCACAACGGAATCGTTCACACTTTTGACGTGCGTTATAAAAAAGAAAAAAGAGTATCGAGCGTAAATCGCACGTATCGCTTCATGATGCACTCGGTTACGGGAATTCAATCATTCATGTCATCGATGCAAAGCGCGATGCATGCGCGCATGTATGAATGAAAAAATCGAACATGAATGACGAGTGAATGTTAAGAGGCGAGATATTGATGGAAAGTAAAGTGTAACTTCTTTGATGGCCTTTGCGTTGAAATGACGTCATTTTAACCTCGAGTTTTCACTGAAAAATGGAAGTTTTTCACCACAAATTTGACAATCTTATTGTTAATAATAATAAGACTCAACAAAATTCCGCGAGATTGTGTTAAAGTAGATTAATAGATCAATGTAGTGTATGTATTTCGTTCTTATCGAATGTGAATTTAAGTAGATGCATACACGGAAAAAAAACAATAAGTTGGCCCATACATAAATCTGGTTGTGTGCCAAACCATATTCAATAACAAAATATTGTGCAACCACAGAAAGCAATTGTTGAGTTACAGTGACGATATCTGGTTGTTTCAACCAGAGTGTATCCATGGTAAAATGCCACTTCAATCGATTTTTGGTTGCCACAACCAGATCACGCGCAACTACATTGATGCGGTTGATGTACCAAATTGTCACCATTATACTAACTATACACATAACCATCACACAAAGATAACTAGAGTGATACAACTGTGCCGCTCATAACTAAATATTTCTGGTTACGTGCATTATATCTTTTCTTTCCATATACCTATGCTACGAAACCGTCTAATAAATGCCACAACGCAAGGGGGGTTAACAGGCTTCTGGACGATTATTCGCATAAATTGTTAGTCAGCAGTCATGTTCGATAATTAAGAATTATCGTGAAAGCAACACCATTGCTCCCATGCGCGATTTTCCACGCAGGTCCACGTATCGACTCCGCCGTCACTTATGAATCATAATTTTGCACGTCACACGTCCGCGCGGACATCGCGGCTAATAAAATCCTGTTACCTTCCTTCCGTCGTGAAAAGTAAAGTATGCCGAGAGAGCAAACTGCTGTTGCGTCTAGACGAACGACGTTATCCTCGTCGTGACATGAGGGTGGTGTATAAAACGGCGGGTTTATACGGCACGGCGTCAAAACCCGGGCTATCTTGCGAAACGGGAATATATCCGGCATCCGTAATATCTTCCCCGACAATTTCGCTTTACATCGCGGTGCTTTTCTTAATCATAAAAAAGATAGGATCTCAGAGCACAAGAACATTGAGCATTAAGGCTGAGTTGATTCTGTCCCAGTTATTTGTTCGTATGTCGCAAAACTCAAAATGTTGAGTATCAGTCGTACTAAAATACTGATTTAGGCCTGGTTTCACAACTTACATTGACTGAAATTAAAGACCTATTAACTCGTTAAAGACTTATTGTAAACTTGTATAATCACACGTATAAAGAAATCAATCAATTATGATACGTACAGTAAAAGAAAAGAAGAAAGTAACGGAAGAAAGAGAGAGAGATATGCTCCTCTTATATTAAACACATTACAATTTCCTTACATACGAATGTTGCGAATATGCAAATTTATCTGGATAAACCTTTAACGAGTAAGTTGTGGAACTGGGCTTTAAAGATCATTTTCGATCAGCGTATATAATGTGTACAGTGAGTTCAACTAAAATTTCCGCGCGAGCATTTCGACATCTATATGTTCAGCCGAATTTTTATTCTGATTAAACGCAACCATTGAAAACTAATCGATCGCGATATGAGAACGATTGTGCTCCCGAGCAATTGCAATCATCACGTAAGCGGTGACGCAACCCACTATTACTAGCCGTGGTTTCTCGCGAAAAGATTCACCGCCGATAACTCCTTCTTGTTCCTTACTTCCCGCCCTCCCTCCGCGCCACGACGTGAAATAAGAAGGAAGTAATCGTCCGAGGGGCGGGAGAGAGGATGGCTACATAGACGTTTGGCAGAAAACCAAATTTCCGCCACCACCCTGAGATGCCAGGAAGCTGTACGCGCACATGCACGTGCACGCGACAGCGACGGTGTCCTTGCCTCTCTTTTCTCTCTCAGCACGACCGCAAGAAATGAAAACTTTCTGTATTTCATTTCCCACTCGTTAGCCGTGCAAAAAAGTACAGCTTTATTTGACGACATTCCGCAATCCCTTAAACAACCTCTATCCTCCACCATTTTTCTGCTCCCCCGAGATATGAAGCAGCTTGTACGCAGAAAATGTATATAGCTTGTTCCACCGGCGTCACAAATGTTACTTCAACAGCTTATTCTTCAATTAATCGCACATTTTTTTAATAAAAAAATATTAATCGGGTTTCCCTCACTCTTTTCTTGATGATGGTTATGCAACAACTTGATCCGCTCAACGCTTCGCGCCCGATTATCGCGTGTCAGAGCTTACGATGAAAGGAAAACCCCCTCTTTTCTTTTTCCACGCCAACATCTTCACTTCACGCTTTAACAAACACGCGCGCGTTACACGTTGTAATAGCTCGCCAGAAAGGCACAACTACAGCCACGTCGATTGAACATTAATCACTGATAAGATTCCTTAAATGTCGCTGCCGGTAATAAATGTCGTTTCGTTTATCTACTTTCCTTCCTTTCATACCGTCTGCTCCATAAAACTTGTCCGTTACGGTTAACAGCGTCGTATTTCACCCTCGATACATGCAAACACAGACAGTTACGTGCAAAGGACCGCGCGATAAATTGCGGAATTATTTATGACACGCAGGCAAAAATTTGCGGGCGAACCAACCTGTGCAATCACCAAGACCCGATTGAGACATTATTGCGAACATATATTTGCGCAATGTGAATAAAAACTAAACTCTAAAAAATTGATGAAATACTTATCCATTGCAAAATTTAGGTTTGTCAGACTAATAATGAGTAAATTGAAGAATTGTTTGGAAAGGAAACTTTTTCTCTCTGCACCCCGTTGATACAATAAACGATATTTTGCCGTTCAATTTAACACGCAACTAATATAACCTTGATTAGTTAGACTCGCTGATCGCGCATCGCGGTTACGAGCGATCGCTAAGATAAAGAATCGGCGCTCCTGGCAACGTGACGTCGATAAACGTTGCTCATATCGCTCACCATAAGACGGTTTTTGCTTAACGAATAGTAATGACCCGCGCCCGACGTTGAAGATTAGTGGAAACGTCGGCGCGCCAAGAAACAGGGCAAGCTTGTAAGACATTAGCGCACGCCAGAAGTAGAAATAAAGAGCCCATTCGTTTCGCGCCGGCGAGGGTAATGTCATGACGACGAGGGGACGAATGTCCTTGCCGGATATACACCACCGGTCGATATTTTCGAGTACAATCTGTCGTCCACTGGGACAACAGTAAACCCACCCAATTTTAGGGGATAACGATAGACGAGAAAAATGTTACCTTAATAGCGCCGTGTTCACCTCGGAAACGGGAATGTGCCGAGTTATATCGTATTTTTGTCCCTGTGTGTCAGGGATCACGCGGATCTACCTCTTTCAACACGTTAACTTATTGAAAAACCCGAGAATAAATTCGCAACACTCTCTAGCGCCGTGGATGAAAAACAAAAAACAAAAAACAAAATAAAAAGAGGAAAACGAGGTAATGGACAAGTTCGTTCATCAACTATTCATAGAGGGGTCCTTGTACCCTTAAAATTATTTGTTAATTAGCTCGATTACTCGTGAATAAAACGCAACTGGCGGGATCAATCGGCTCGATACAAAAGAACTTGGTATTTTATTTCGAGCGCTCGCGCTAT